AAGTTAATCCGTTTATTCTTCAAGGTTAAATTTAAATAATGGTAACGGATTTCTTAAGCAATGAATGGTTATTAGTAGCATCCCGAAAAGTATTTCGCAAATAAATATGTACTATTAAGAAAAGAATTTGCGAAAAATGCGCTCTGATATTTATGGAAAAGCGGGGTGTTACAGTTGGTATGCCAGTATTTGCGCAACTTTTCACATTTCAAATTATGGTTTTTCAGCGAATCAATTTTATTCAGAAGTTACTCAATGCACAAATTGTACCGTTATTAAAAATAAATCATTCATGTAATATTTGTAATTTTTTGTATATAATCAAATTAATAGTTTAAATTATGATTCATTTATGACTAATATATTAATTCTCATATGATAGTAGTTTCTTTATCTTACTTTATTGTTAATGTAACTTTCATATACAAAAATTAAATTACACTCCCTCCTATTATTTTTAAATGTCATTCTAACCTTTACAACTATTTGTCAAATAAATGTCGTTTTGAATTTTTTGTACATATTTTCTCATTAGTACCCTCATTTAGCCAATAAATACATTACGTCTTTTCATATTCACTCTTCACTTTTTCTCAAAACAATCATCTCTATCTTCATTAAATAAGGTTATTATCGACAAAAAAAATATTCTTAAATTAGTGTGCAATTTCTCAAAACGACATATATTAAAAATAGGAGGTAGTATTTATTACGTTCAACAATAGATTAAAAATCACATGTAAAAAATATGGTTCTCCATCATTAGTTCACCCGCCTCTCACGAGCATATGCAAATCATAAGTTTCATTATATGACCAAGTTCTTCCTCAATTTGGCAAACTCTGCAAATGAAACATAATACCACAAAGTCTGCATACATTGGGAACATCATTCAGAAAGAACAGACACAAAGAGAACAAAGTCACCAGCATAAGTCTCTCCCTATTTAGAACTCACAAATCATTAAGGAACTAAATAAGACTATTAAACTCACTGCACGGCAGAACGCATGGTCTAGTTTAGGCACATACGTACAAGAAGCTACTGAAAATACGGCAGCATTGAAATTCCAAAGTCGAACAGCATTTAACCAAAATCCTCAAAAGATTTTTACAGTTATACTTGTACCCCCCAACCAAGATATAAATAACATATGTAGTTTATATAGCAAGGGAAATTATTAAATGAAATCCGCCATATATGCAACAAATGTCAATATATAACGGCTCAGCTTCCCCGATATGCAAACCCCCTATTAAGTATGTATGAAAAGAAAAAAGAAACAGAAAAAACACCAGATTCTGTAAGAAGACAAAAGTATAGCACACACCAAACTAAATCCTCACCAGATTCAAGTGTCTACTTTGTTGGATCCATCCTTCTTGGCCCGCTTGGAAGTCCCACGGGATTTTCGCTGTGTAGGAGCATAACGAAGTTTGTAACTGACAAGTGAAGGTCCAAAGATGCTGTATTTTCCAGTGCTGTTAAAAGCAGTCTCAGCATCAACTCGCCTCCTGAAGATCACTTTCACACGCTTGCTTTTGCTTAATATCTGAGTCTCAGACTCGTTCAGAGGCCCATAACTGTTGAATATCTCATTCAGGTTTGTAATGGAAGGAATAGACTCCAAATTTGTGAAGTTCAGTATGAGGACCGTCGGCTGATATTCATCTGGTGGCATTTTTTCTGAACCCAAATCCAAGAAAAGAGTATTATCCACTTGAGCAGCCTTGTTATAAGTGTTTTTAGGTTCGAACAACACAGGTTCTTGAGAGGAGCTCTGGATGATCATGTCTGTCCAGTACGAGTCATTGGTAATTCCTTCAAATCCAAATGTACTTTCTGCAGTATCTAAGTCGACTGGCTCTTTTCCTTTGAGTTTCATCACAGAATCCATTTCAGCATTCGAGGAACTTGATTTTTCAAAGCAAATCGAATTCCGAAATTCACGGAGAAAGTCAACTTCTGAAACCATGACTCTGAACCCTTGTATGGGAATTTTCGCAGCCAAGGTTAGTTTCGAAAGGATCTCATCAGGAGTAGGTATACCAGATGGAATTATTTCCACCATTTCAGGCTCCTCACATCCTTTTACACCATCGCAAATTTGAATAATTGGTGACACGGTTTTCCGTTTTTTCACTCTGGGGTTAGAATTTGTGCTTTTGATGTTTTTACCAGAGGAGACAGACCTCCGAGCAGCTCTTTTTACCGGTTTCTCATCAGCATTTGGTAAAACCGAGCTGCCAGAGGAAATCAGGGCAGATATAAGTTTTTCTTTTAAAGTAGGGAATTCTTTATCGCCTAACAGGTGTCTACGCTTCTGGGAAGAACCATCTCCGGCAGTTGACTTTCTCTTATTAGATGAAAAATCATCAGTCACCTCAACATCATCATCTTCCAACTGCCCAACGTACTGTTCAAAAATCGGGAGCTCATAGTGACCCTTCCATCTACTGAAGGCAAGCAGTTGAGCTTTCTTCATGAGAAATTCCAGACTGTTGATTTCAGTCTGCAGAGATGCAGCCAAAGATTCCAGAAAATGCACGAGATTCCCAGGCGAAAAAGAAGCTGGACTCAATAAATTGTCCCCACCGTATACCTTGTTCTTTTCTTCATGAATACCGGCATTTGAAACCACCCCGATTTCAAACTTATCACGAACTTCTTCTGACAGGCACTCACACGACAGCCCGAACTCGATCCGGCGAGCGACCTCGTCCAGGGCACAACTCACGGAATAACAAAACCTGTCTGAACTGCTCTGTTTCTCCATCTGGGAGAAATACATATGAAAAGGTTTGATATTCGATCCCTCGTTCCATGCAAACGACTGGTCCCCAAAATACGCAACCAAATAGCTCGGTTTCTTGTAATAAGTTTTTGCCTTATCTGATGCAGCTGTGGGAAGAAATATCTGCCCAGGCCACCAGGGGTGGCCCCTAACCTTGCCCCACACGAGATCCGACACGTAATACTCTCCTTCCTTTTCGGTTATCTGGTGTTCTCCACGTGTCTTTGGTATTAAACACGTTTTGTGGCCCTCGACTTCATTTACTTTGTTTTGTAACAAACCATGTGTTACCAAATATTTGGATAACAAATCCTCGTCCCCAATTAAATCCATTCTATCTGGCGCCCATTTGCTAGATAAGGTATCTTGGCCCTTTACACCTGGCACCAATTCGTTAGATAGCAAATCAAGATCGCCTTTCATATTCACCAAATCTGGACCCAATTCATTGGATAACGTATCTTGGTCCGCATTTAAACCCATTCCATCTTGTACCCATTCGTTAGACAACAAATCTGGGTCCCCCTTTAAACCATCACCCATAGCTAAACCATCCTGAATCAACTCATCCGATTCGTCGTCGCCAATAATGAATCTTTCAGCATCACATTTATCCAGGACCAACTCAACCGAATCTTTGTCCGCAACAAATCTCTCAACGTCACTTTTACCCACATAGATTGGCTCCTCAATCAAACCCTGCCACGCGTCCGTATCAGCAGCCAGATTCTCCTTACGTCCACCATTTCTAGAAGCTTCTAAATTCTCCTCATTCAAATTCTTCACATCCTTCTCCTTCTTAACCCCATTCGCCTCACGTCCATTTTCAGAATCGCTCACAACCTCCTCCTCTGCCGTATTCACCTTTCGCATCTCATTATCCACCTCTTCATCATCATCCACGCTAAGGGTCCCACCCAAAACTCTCCTAACCATATTCATGACCCCCCACGATTCCCATTTATTACTCCGGGACCTCGTTTTACTGAATTCAATCGAGTCCTTTCTAGTTGAATCAATTACACTCTCAGTGCTAGACTCCACATCCAAAACCCTAGCCCCATCACTCAAAACCCCTTTATCTCTCGGATTCTCCACTAGGGTTTTGGATTCCGGGCCGTCAACCACTCCAACATTAGTCCCTTCCTCTAATTCACCCGAAATCCCCGAACTCACGTCCACAACAATCACCATCTTTTCCCACACAGATCAGCAAACCCTAGAAGCAAAAAAAAACCCGCACACAAAACGGCGTCACTTACAAAGCCCAACACACACAGGTCCATCAAAACCCGTTTTTTACAGAGGTGTACACAAATGTACATGCAATTAACAATTGGCGCACACAACACAACAAACACGAACAAAATATATTCACACACGAGAAGCAAGAAATCAATGGATGCTAAAGAGAGAGAAAGGGTCACCTCAGGTGATGATTGAGAGAGCTGAACTTCATCAAAAGCTGTTCAGAGATTTTCAATTATAAAAACAGAGAGAGAGAGAGAGAGAGAGAGAGAGAGAGATTTTCATTTTCCCGATTTTTTTATATTTTTCTGCTGTCTACAAAAGTGAGAATAGAGATGGGGCTCAGATTAAACGCTCGCTTTTTATAGGGAAATTTTGATGGACACGTGTCGTCATCGTGGCGCTTGACCAGCCGTTGCGATTTCGACCACGACGACGTCGTTTTGGCGTGTGCTGTGTACTATTGTGTGGAGTCGAATTAGGGATTGGAAATAGGAAAAAAGGGAATTATACGGATTTTTGTTTTATTGTTAATTTAAAAGTTAATTTTTTAAAATGATTTATGAAATTCAACATAAAATTTATCTGTTTGTTAATTTTTGCAATGATATTTTACAATTGTTGTAATTGAATTATGTTCTGCGTAATTCATTGAAATTCATTATTTCTTGATTTGTTAATCAATTGAATTGCTACTATATTGTAGAAAAAAAAAAAAAATGCTAGATTTCCCTTGATTTGTGGTGATTTTTTTCTTAATCTGGATTAATTGATTAAAACTATTGATTTTGAAATTTAAATTTTTCCATTTTCATAGTTTCACTCCAGATTTGCTATTTTAATGTCGAATGATGATAGTTTGAGAAAATGTTATGGTCTCGTTAAGGTACCCTCTCGTCGGGTGTTTTAAACGTTGAATCATCTATCTTACACTAACTACATATGAATTCAACGGTTAAAACACTCGAAAAGATGGTACCGTAACGGCCATAATATTTCCCGATAGTTTGTTCAGACAATACAAACTTTGAACATCTCGTCCATTTAAGAAAATCAAACATTTTGAGGGTATTTTTAAATCATTAGGAATGTTTTTCATTTAAACAAACTTGATTTTATATTAAATTAAGGTTTGACCATTTGACAACTATTGTTGTAATCAGGTCAAAATTTTATGCACTCAATTAGTTAAAAAGATAATTGTATTAGTAACTTTCGTGTATTTTGTATATTTGATTATAGGGTTAGTGAATTTTGCTATTTTAATTAATTGAAAATTGTGACAACAATTCAATATTTTACAAATACGAAATTTCAATTATATTTTAAAATCACTAAAAAACTTGAAAAATTATTTTTGCTTGGTCGATCAACATTTATTTCTTTTGTCACAAAACATGAATTTTTCGGGAAAAAAAAAAACTATTGTACATAAATATATTTGGTGTCTGGAATAAAAAACTAAAATGCATTCCATAAATATATACAAATTTAGAGGGATAAAACTATAAATGCTAGTTTCCAATCCATGAATTAGGAAGTCAAACAATTATTATTATTATAATAATTATTATTATAATAATAATAATAATAATTATTATCTATATATATATAATTACTAGCTCTTCTACATTTAAGAAAACCTCATAAATTATACCTAGGTGGCACTTTCACATTTTCCCTCCAAAAACCGTTACTTTTCATTTATTTAACCTAATTAATAGATAATCAATACACTAATCAATTTAAAATACAAAAATCATTTTCAACTTTTGATTACTAACAGTTAACCAATAATGTGTTACCGTATAATGTGATTAGATATTATTATTGTGGTTACATGTAAATTATTTTTTGGAAAATAAAAAAAGTATATGAAACTCCTAAATAAATTATAAATAATTTTAAAAAAATTACATACCAAAATATACGTTACATCCAATCTAATAAACGCAATTTAAAAAAAAAAATCAACTCCTTTAATTGTAAATTTGGTTGCAAAAACGTGAAAGAAAAATAATTAATCATTATATGCATGCAAATAACTCACAATATTTTATTTACATTTGTGCAAATGTACAGGTAGAATACTAGTTATTATTAATGATAGATACCAGCAATTAAAGCAATTTTACGAAAATAAATAGATAAGATTTGTTAGATATAATTATATAAATCTTGATAAGCTACGGTAGCTACTGCTGTTAACAATGAATTTGAAGGCCAAAAATGTTTAGATACAAATCGAGGACTTTGATTACAAAATAAAGTCTGCACACAATTTAATTTTTTAAATTATTGGATTTTGCAACACTGTTCAGTATTCACAATTAACCATGTTGTATAAAATGAAGAATCGCTTATTTCTATCTATGTGTAATAAAATTAAAGCTAATCGACCAATATTATTTAGAAGTAACAAATGCGTCTTAAATTAGCTTAAAACAACAAAATTAAAAAGCCATACATTTTGACATATTTGTAAAATATTTGCGCTGAAATATAAACATAAAAAGTGGAATAGAAAACTATTACAAGCAAAAATTGTATCCCATCAAAGCAAATTACTAACTATTGTCTATCAAACTATTATCCAATTGAGACCAATAGGTCTAAAGTTCGAGTCATATAGTGGGTAAGTGGGAAAATACTATTGATCCTCTTTAAATAAGTAAAAAAATAAGAACTATGATGTTAATTGTGGCTTGAAAAAGGAAAATAAAAATCATTCATATCATATACTTTACAAATTTGAAAAAGTTAATATAATAATTTATCAAATGTTGTAGCTTGTAGTCAAATAGTATAATATTTGGTATGAAATTATATAATTCCTGGTAATAAACTGCTTATGTAAAAAATCGTGCAAACTTGGAAACAAACTAACAAGAACACAATAAATAATTTGAAATGAAGATCCCAACACATATAATCCCTATAAAGATCAAAAAAGAAAAA